TCCTAGACTCAGGTGAAAAGCACGCTGGTACGTGTGTGTGTATGCCCAAAATCCCGAGAGAAGAATGAGAGAAGGGCTTGTGGCACAGCCACCCCCCCCAAGGGAGCTGCTTCCTCACTACCCCCCCCTCTGGTGAATGCACGTGTCCACAGGGGAAACCAAGGTAAAAATCACAATCTGGTAGGATTTTGTGAGCTGAACTATGTGACCCAGTGCTTCTACTTCCAGGTGCATATAACGGAGAAACCCTTGTCCATGTGTACTAGAAGCCTCAAAAGAAAGGTCCATGAAAATATTGTAATTATAAAAAATTGGAAAGGTGGTGTGGGGATTAAGGCGCTGGATTCCCATATGACTGACTTCAATTCCGGTCCTGGACCGGGTGGCTTGCCTTACCTTTCTCTCTCTGTTTCTCTCTGGTCAAATTAAAAAATAATAATAATGGGACTGGCAGATGGTATAATGGTTACATTGCTAGACTCCCATGTAGTTGACTATGGTTCAAGTCCCAGACCTGGTGGCTTAAAACTCATGCTGGGTGCATGTGCATGTGTGCCCAAGATCCCGAGAGGAGAATGAAAGAGAAGGGATTGTGGTGTGGCCATCCCCCCAGAGGGTGATTTCTCGCTTTCTGTCTCTGTCTCTCTGGTGAGTGTATGCTCGCTAAAGCAAAAATCTCTCTAAAATAATAATAATAAATATAACTAATTAAATAATTCTTTTTAAAAATTGTAAAGAACTCAAATAGCCATTCTTTTAATAGATCATTCAATTGCATACTTATATATTGAGTTAATATACAGCAGTAAAAGTGAATTAAATACTATAATAGGCACCAGTATGGACAAATCTCAGAAATACAAAGTTGAGTGGTCCAGCCATCGGTGTGAGTGGGAGGATGCCACTATGCAGTGTTTTTGGTTGCATGAGGCCTGGGTTCAGCTCCTGGCCCCAACTAAACAGGTATGTGCCTGTGGTCCTAGCTAAAAGATGGGGCAAGAGAATAGTGACATGGTAAGATCTTGTTAAAAATACCTTTCTGGGACCAGCAGTTGGCATAATGGCTATGTCGCTGGACTCCTATGTAGTCAACTTCGAGTCCCAGACCTGGTGGCTTAAACTCATGCTGGGCATGTGTGCGTGCGTGCCCAAGATCCCGAGAGGAGAATGGAGGAGGCGGGATTGTAGTGCAACCATCCCCCCAGGGGGTGGTTTCTCGCTTTCTGTCTCTGTCTCTCTCTGTCTTTCTGGCGAGTGCATGTGCCCCATAGCAAAAACCTCTCCCCCCGCAAAAAAAAAAAAAAAACAAAAAAAACAAAAAAACTTTCTTTCGGGCCCGCAGATGGTGTGGTTAAGGTGCTGGATCCCATATGGCAGACTCTATGGTTTGAGTCCCCAACCTGGTGGCTTGAAAAACATGCAGGGCATATGTGTGTGCGTGCCCAAAATCCGTGAAAAGAGAATGAAGGGAAAGGGATTGCAGTGTGGCCATCCACCTGGGGGTGGTGATTTCTCACTTTCCTTCTCTTTCTGTCTCTCTCCAGCTAAGGCACTAGCCTGATAGCAAAAATCTAAGAAAAGACCTTTCTTGTGCTCATGCTCTTTTTTTTTTCTTTCCCTTCCTCTAAAAAAGAGAAAGAGAGAGAGAGGAGAAAGGAGAGACAGCTAAGATTGAGGAAGAGGAAACAAGCCAGAGAATATGTGAATTCTGTTACCACTCTTCAAATGTTGAAACCCAGGCAGAACTACACGAGGGATTCTTAGACGTGTGGTGCGATGACACGCAGAGCAGAGAAACTCGGGCTAGGACTAGCTGGGCTGACCAGTCGTCAGAAGACTGGCTGGTGATTGTGCTTGGATCTAAGAACAGGTGTCTTTGTGCTAATTTGGGTCTTCAGTGTCCCTCACAGGATGCTGAGGTTGGGGGATGAGGGAGAGGCTGGGATGATGTGAGTCTCCAAACATAGGCTGCCAACAACTCCTTGCAGCCCTCAGATGGCTGTCTCCCCTCCATCCAGAGGTGGCTCCTTCCCTCCGCCTTGATCCGGGCTGGGACTGTGGTGAGCACGCAATGATGCAACCTTCCCGTCCTTCCCAATCTGGGCCCTGGCAACTTCTGCTTCTTCTCTTGGAGCTCAGTTGACATGTTGTAAGGACACCGGGCTATTCTGTGAGGATTAGAGACCACAGGCGCCCTCCGCAGGGGCTGAACACACCAAGATCCCCTTCCTCCAGTCCTCCAGCCCCTCGGATCTCAGGCATTTGCACACATGCCTGGCACGTTTCAGGCTGACTGGACAGCGATTCCAACACAGATGCCACGTGGGGTCTGACTTCTCTTGAGCAGCGCGCTGCTGCTGTGCCATGGGGCCAGCCGCACTCTCGATATTTTTATATATGATAAATGCTTCGCAACAGAAAATATGCCAAAAAAGACACCCAAAACAACTCCCCGACCTACCCCCAGCCAGCTGCGGTGGGGCAGCCGCGGTGCAACATTGCAATGCTGGATTCATTAGAGGACTGGGGTTCGGTTCTTGCATCAGCCCATACATGACCCGCTCCAGCGATACGGGCTGGGAAAGCTGAAGGAGAACACGCATGACACCCAGCTGGGGTGCTTCCCTCTCTCATGGAACAAAACTGAAGGGGACTGGCAGTGGCGTGGTGGTAACACACTGGACTCACAGGACAGAGGTCCTGGGCACACGTCCTGAGACCTCCCTCAGTACACTGCGCACGTACGGGTATGCCCACCCTCTGGGCTGGGGCGGATGGTGGAGTGGACACCCTGTGGGGCACGCCTTTTACTCTCAGTAGGAAATACTTAAAAACTTTTGAGAAAGAGGTCTCCGTCGTCTTGATCTGGAGTTGCTACGTAACTGACTAGGCCGCATGTGTAGACATGGGTCCACCTGCGTCTCATACTGAGAACTATCTGCTCAGGTTCTCGGCGGCCGCATACCTAGCTGGTGTTCATCATGATTAGAACTGCCCGGTAGGGGAAGTAGCCTTTTTAGACCCTGTGTTTGAAAGACACCTCCCCTAGTCTGCGGTTTATAAGCCTTTCATCTTCATGATAAGTTTTGCTGTTTTGTTCTTTTTTTAAAGAGTTTAGTTGAGGAGTGAGACACAGCATCCAGACAGGGTCGCAGCGCTATGATCCACCCGCAGCTTCGGCCACCCTGGACTGTAGGCACTTATGTCCCCAGCGTACTCAGGGAAGTCTCTGGACGAGAACCTTCCCAGGTGGGTCTGCCAGAGTCCTGCCAGTGTCACCGCTGTACCGCCACCGGCCCCCACATTCACACGTCTCAGTCCAAATTATTCTTGGCGGATGTTGTGCTGGGACCAGCGGTTGGTGTAATGTCACTGGACTTCCACGTAGTCAACCATGGTTTGTGTCCTGGACCTGGTGGCTTAAACTCATGCCAGGCATGTGTGCGTGCGTGCATGCATGCCCAAGATCCTGAGAGGAGAATGGAGGAGGGATTGCGGCATGGCCATCCCCTTCGGAGGGTGATTTCTTGCTTTCTGTCTATCTGTTTCTGGTGAGCACACGTGCCCTATAGCAAAAACCTCTCCAAAACACACACACACACACACACACACACATCTTTCCTTTAGGACTGGCAGGTGGCAAGGTGGATAGGGGTGTTGGGACTCCCACATGGCCAGCCATAGTTCTAGTCCTGGACCCGACAGCTTGCTTTCTCATTCTGTCCCTCTCTGGTCAAATATAAAGAAATAAATAAAGTTAAATAAGAATAATTCTTTTAAAAAGAAAAGGATATTTTCTTCATCAAGGGTATCTTTCACTCATCTCTGAATGCTTTCATGGTTTCATTTCACAATTAAAACATTGACCCATCTAGAACTGTTACAGAGAAATAGGACCGAGGATTTTTTTTTTTTTTTTTTGTCAAAAATGGCTAGCCACTGGTTCCATTACAAATAATGCAAATGGGATCAGCAGGTGGCATGGTGGTTAAGGTGCTGGATCCCACACGTCTGACTTAGTGACTCAAGTCCTGGACACTGTGGGTTGAAAACCATTCCGTGCATGTGTGCGTGGTGCCCCAAATTCAAGAGAATGGAAGAGAACGTATCGTGGTGTGGCCATCCCTCTGGGTGATTTCTCTTTTCCTCTTTCTCCACTGAGCGCACATGACCTGTAACAAACTAAAACATAATCATTCAAATAAAAGTGGGTTTCTTGTAGACACATGCACACAAAAAGTAACGCAGATGTCCCAACAGGAAACGCCACTAGCAGATGTCCAGGTAACTTGCCATTTCCGTGCTCCCCACTGTGTCCCCCGACCTCCTGTGTTCCAGCAGACTCGAGCACCTACTGCATTCGGTTAACACTATCCGGAGGACTGACCCGCACCCCTTTCGGGACTGACCTGGCTACTCCTGTTTACCCCGTGTCACTAATGGTGCCAAGGCAAATATAAGGATGCCCTTCACTGGGAGCTCGGGTGGGCACCGAGGGGAAGGCACCACCTCATTCCCAGGGCAGTGTATGGATCCCCCCGTGCCCACTGAGCCAAGGCCCTGGCCAGCTCTCCTTGCTTCCTTTCCTGGAGGAAAGGTGACCACGGTGGCCCTGTGACCACCGCGACCTCATACCCAAGAATGGTTTCTAATTGCCCAGGCCTCATGAGAAAATGACACCGTCCATGTGCTTGAGGACAGACAATGGTGATGTCACTGGCTGTGCAAACGCTAGGGACGGTTTACAGGCCCACAAGCCCCATGACCTTGGCGGGGTGCGCCAGCTCTCGGCCCTTTCCGACGTAGCTGGACAGGGGTGGTCGTGGGGATAGCGGGACCCCACGGAGACAACGTGAGCTCCTCAGCAGAATGAGGGAACTGCACTTCAGGGGCCAGAGGCTGAGCTCTGCTAGCTCCTCCCTGCCAGCTACCCCCAAGATCACCCCGACCTCTCGCCCCCCAGCATCCCACCCCATGGGCATGCCACAACCAAGCCAAAATCAGAAGTAAAAGACTTTTATTGTTCTACAGACACTTCTGAAAAGAGATCTAACTGAGAAAATATACAAAGCTTTAAGATGTTCAACTCCGGAGAGCACCGAAGTCTGACCGGAGGCGTCGAAGCCCCCCTTTCAGGGCTCGGGGCTGAGAACGGTTAGCGTGTCGGCTGATCAGTAAAACATGCAGAAGTGAGAAGGAAGGGAAGATGGCTGTGTCCCCCAAAGCAGCGGGGTTGGAGTTTCAGAACAGAGGAGGCAGGATGCGCAGGTACCAGGGGCTCTCCTGTTCCTGGTTTGCCTCTTAGAACAGCTCTGCCTTGGAGAGCGAGGACTTTGCACTCGACAACCAGCGCTCCGGGTGGGGCTACAGACACAGGACTGGGACGCGACCACCCCTGCCCTGGTCCCCTGTAGCCCACCCCGCTGCTCTGGCTCTGGCTGCGGGGACCCCTGCTTGTGCTCCTGCGGGGCCAGGGCTGGGGCCTGGCTCTTTGCTTCTTTGGTTCCACTCAGAAAACGACTGTGCTTGACACGCTCATCCCCACTCCCAACTCCAGGCTCCTGCAGGTGGGCAGAAGGCACTGACCGGCCCAGGGAGACCCAGGGACAACCTCCTCCCTTGTGCTCTAATGGGTTTGTCCCCACACATCCCCACCCTCAGCCCAAGCCCAGCCTAGGAATCAGGACAGAGAAGTGCACCGCCTAAGGACAGGCTTTGGGGCCTTGCCCAGCTGTGCAGGTGCCAGCCTCTGTCCTCCCCGCCCCTGCCAGGGCCCTGGGATGGCCGGCTCCCCTCCAGGTGTTCCCCATGGGCTGCCAGCACAGCTGTGCCTGACTAAGGATGATGGGTCTCTGCGATCACCTGGGGGGTGCCCTCTCCAGGGGGCTAGCGGGGGACGGGGGGCTCGAGGTCACCTGTATAGGGAGGGAAGGAAGGGCAGACACGTCACATCTAGAGAAAGGTGCCAAGGTACAAGCTGAGCAGGGGGCTGGAGGGGCTGAGAGAAGGAAAGGGGCAGAGGGCGGCAGGCCCAGGGCATCACACCACCCTGCAGATGCGCGTCTCCACCACGAAGGTGTTCTCGAAGTGGCGGATGGCGTTGCAGTTCTTGGTGCCCCGCTTGTTGATCCCTGGAGGAAATGGAGGAACCCAGTGGAGCCCGTGTCCTGGCCTAGACCAGGGCCACAAAGGCCACCACACACCACCTCAGCACCCCGGCAGGGCCTCAGAACCAGGGGGTGGGAAGGAGGCCCAGGAAGTGACAGCGAAGAGCACTGGGGTGGGACCGGCCTCGGACTGCTGCTTCCTGTGCATCCCCACAGTGGCTAGGGGACCTCGCTGTGCCTGTGTCCTCATCTTTAACAGAGGCAGGAGGGTAACGGTAATGAGGACAACTCACATTCTGGGGTTCCCAGGGCCCACAGCAGGCCAGGCACAGGGTGGGTCCTCAGCCTAATGCCAGCTAGAGCTGGGTTGCCTGGAGCCCAGGAACAGGCTGGGGCTGGGGCAGAGCCGGCTACTCACGCCTCCGGGTGGCCCGGCGCCGCAGCCGGTAGGTGTCCTTCCCGCTGCACAGGTGGTAGATGAAGGAGCCCAGGGCCTCCTTGTCGCTGACGTGCTCGGTGACCACCATCTCCTCCTGGATGATGTACGTCTGAGGAAGGTAGGTCCCTCTCTGTGGAGGGAGCAGCCGCAGCGCCAGGTCAGGCCAGGTCCCCACCCGCGGTTCTGGCCACCCACTGCCCACGGCCCTGGAGCCACCTCCTCACATACACCCCACTTTTTCACCCACAGACCTGACGTGCCAGGGCCCATCTGCGCTGGTGCAAAGCTTACACGGCCCTGAACTGTGCTGTGCGTGTGAGTCTGGTCTCCAAGCTGGGAAGGCTCCTGGGCCAGGCTCACGCCTCTTCCCTGCACTGGGTCCCGGGGCATGGCTCTGAGCACTAAGGAAGCTGGTCTGGGCTTCTCTTCACTGCAGGGATGTGGAAGCTAGGGCTGGTGGAGGCACGGCCTTTCTGGGGTGCAGCTGCCAACAATGTCCCAGGTCCCCGATCTCCCAACGCTTGGCCTGGGCCTGGTCTCCACGGAAGAGAGATGAGATCCCGAGACCCCATGCACCTTGACGTTCATGAGGAGCTCCCAGAAGTTTCGCGGGGGCAGCACGAGGGTGGTGTTGAGCTCGATGACGTAGCACTTGTCCAGGGAGATGTCGTGGTAGGCAGTCAGACCCTGGAGAAGGCGGGCCACATCAGTCTTTGCAGGAGGTGGCCTGCCCGAGGCCGACAGAGCACAACGCCCACCATGCTGTCCCCGGTCCCCGGAGGTGTGGGGTTCCTGCGGCTCTCCTAGCCTGGCTGCGGGAGGCACCACTTGGATGAAAACACCAACTGCTTGTCCAAGGCCTCGGTGGTTCGAGGCTCTTCCCCTGGGTTTGTGGGGCTGAGGCTGGGAAACGTGGTTAACGTCCCAACCACGTGCTTCACCCAACCCACGAGGGCGTCCTCCCTGGGGCAGCCTGAACCTCAGTGAGCAGCCCTGTCCCAGCTGCAGGACCGTCGGGATGAGGAGAGGATGAGTGCTCATCCCAGGAAGCTCTGGGATGGAAGTGGAGAGGGCCTGGGGGCGTGCACAGGCTGCCCTGGGGAGGGAGGGCTGGCTGGGCCAGGCACGGGGACCCGTGGGGTGCCGGCAATGTGTTGGATCTGGTGTTACAGGAGCACATGCCCCCGCAGAAGCCCGCTAAGCTGGAGGTTGATACACCCGGCGTGGGTGTGCTACAGCTCGCTAAACCTGAACAGGAGCAGTGAGCACTGGCCGTCCTCGGGTGCAAGGACATGTTTACCCATAACCCTTTTACCTACTGACAAAGCAGTGTCTAAAACTCCGGAAAACCTGGCCGTGGCCGTTTGTACGTACGCGAAGGATTCTCGTTTCCCTCCTGCCCCTGCGGGGTCCCCAGGACAGCCTCCCACAGGCCAGCCTCACCCGCTGGAAGTCATGGATGATGTCTGCAGGGTCACCACCACCAAACTGGGGCACAGGGACGTTGATGCGCTCGTAGTTCTCCTCGAGGTAGATTTTCACATCCTCCTCGAGCTCCATCCGAGCCCGGACCTGGGAGGACAGCGAGTCCTCGTAGAGCACACCGCAGTGGAAGAAGTTATCCCGGGCCAGCTGAGGGACGAGTGGGGGGGAGAGAGGTGACTCCGGGCACTGTGCAGCCAGCACCGCCCATCTGCCCACTTCACACCCTGAAGGCCGGGGGAGCAGGAAGGTGGGGGCTGTGACCATGTCACAGAGATCGAGAGCCATGGGGCAGCATTAAGGAGGCGAGCAGCCCTGGATGAGGCACTTCGAGCTTCACGAACAGAAGGGAAGAGGAGCCGGGCGGCTGGTTCTAGGTGGGAAACTTCTCTGCCCCCGGAGCCCCACCCATAAAGTATGGTGATCCCTAAGGTCCCTTCTGGCCTCCAAGTCCATGACTCGGTGACTGTAAAATGGGTGGACTGGCGGGAGGACCCAGCCACCCCTGTGCCCCCACAGGACAGAACCAGAGATAAGCTGGACGCCCTGGGAGTCCCCGCCAGCTGCATGTATGTTTTATCCTTTTATAACTTAGCCGCCTCAGTTCTGAGAACACGGGACACTTGTTCCCTCCTCAGGTCTGGCCTGGTCCCATTCCTG